GTACATTGTTAATGCCTTGACTACTCACTGCAGGTCATTGCTATTCCTCAGTAACTTGTTGGATACTTTCCAATCCGGGGATCCTACCATTGGGCACTATATCTAATTCATGTGAGAACGTTTCCATAAAATTTTCTGGATAAGATGTTTACAAGGCAGGTCACCAAGTGTTACATCGACCTTCTCCATTTATCTGGAGCTGGGACTGATATGAAAGTGCCTGGCTGGGTCAAGTGCCTGGGAAAGATTAGTCAGATGGTAATTCTCTACATGTTTACTCAAAAGTAGGACTCATTTATTTCTGGATTTTCTCTCAATTATAAATAAGACAGTAGCATCAATCAACCTTCTTCAAAATCAACAATTTTTGTTAATTTATGGACATATCAATTTTTATAATAATAGAGGGTTTTTTTACTTCCCAACTGGGATGCTTACCATAGTAATACTTCTTGTAGAAAGAGTAGCATTCTATAATGAATCAGAATGTAACATTAGCATGGAATGATGTAGCCTCATTAAGTACGCTTAGTAGAGTAGCATTTTCTTTAAAGGGATGGCAGTCAACCTTATCACCACTGAGTATAGCAACAGAATTGTTTTTAATCTACCTTAGAAGCATCACTTATTTGAATTAGCCTTTAAAAGCATGAACTTACTATGATATACATATATGTAATAATGCACTATTAAGTCTCCTTTTTATGGCTACATATGAGACTGGACTCATATGTAGCCAATTATAATATAATTTATAAAGTTTTCCCTGAATATATTGTATCAAATAAATTGTTTTAATTTGTTAACCAGATTACAGATTAATGTGAGTGTAGTCAATTTAGTTTACACATCATTAAGAAGTAACAACTACATATGAAGTATAAGAATAATTCAAATACTACAGGATCATGCATGCATACATGTGAATGGGATTAATTAGACTGCCTGTGAGTAACAGACAATTTGATTACCTTAAAATAACTGGATTACATAATATTATGGGATGATGGGAGTTGTGATCTAAATTCTAAAATATTTGGAAAGCACCATTCCCAAGTCTGTTTTAGCCTACCAGAATGGCATAGTTATTAGACCTGAAAGAAACCACATAACCAGACCCACCCAAGTAGTATGGCATTCATATACATATTGAAACTATCTGAAATTATACCACAAGGAAGCAACTTCCATGTGATTTTGGTATATGAATAAAGAAACATACTTCTAAATAAAAGTGTATAGAAATAGAGGCAGAAACTTAATCTGCAATCTTAACAAGTAATTCCCATAGAAGTGAATGAAATATGTTTTCAAAAAACTTATCAAGAATCAGTTTGGCAAGTTTATCATCTAATCTCTAATGTTCCCATTACAGTCACCCTGAGAACTGCCACAAAAGCAATTGATTCAGAAACACCATCTATGCTCCTAAAAACAGGATAGGAGGTGTCATTCAAACAAGTCTTAATATGATAGGACATACTATACACACAGAAGCTATAAAATATTGTCTGTATAGTAAAGAGGAAGGCCTTGTGTTGATTTCCTCCTACCATGCTCCCACTGAAGTCTATCTCATTCAAATATGAACAGAATTAATGCCCATGGCTGGTGATAAAATCCTTATTGTATCTTCTCTCAGCAGAAATGCAAAGAGGCTGGTCAACGTAAGATTCATTCTATTACAGTAAGCCACAAATATGTGTGGATGTTTTCCATGTTGTTCACTAACAGTTTGGCTGGCACTTTTTGTCCCTTGAAATAAAAATGTTCAGTCGTATCTCAGTAAAAACTATACAGCAGAAAGAAGAAAGCCAATACTTTCTTCCTATCTGCCAATTTCTGCAATACATATTTTATAGTTAAATCATGCAAAACTACTTAGCTAGTACAAAAATGAGATTTATGCACATTTACCTACAAAAACTTTTCACTGAATACCACATAGTTGACCTCTGAGTAAGTGTATATAAGAAGAGGCAATGAGGTGCAATGGTTAAGGCATTTGCCTGGAAGCAGGAAGATTCTAGTCCTCACTTAGGTACATTTTTGTCATTTTTCCTCAGCCCTAGACTGGAAAGGTGGAAAACATTGATCTACCAATCTACACTGGATCAGTGTCGTAGTTTATAATCCATAATGTTCAGTGAAGAGAATTTTATCCTGAAGTGGACTAAATTTGACATGATAATAATAACAATCATAATGTATAGAAAGCTGTGTCAGAAAAATCCAAGTATTCCACAGAAAGAAAAGATATGGATTCTTCTTAAGCATGAGACACCTCAAGGAAAATAAAGGGGAAGGGCACATTAACATATTTCTAGTTTTTGTCCAAGATGTCAGTCCTCTATTAATTATTTTTTCTTTCTCTTAAAAAAGAAAAGCAAGCATTGCAATCACAATGGTACAAGATCTGCAAAGTTATTACAGCAAAGAATAATTCTTATTAAAAAGAGAACAAGGCTTCCATACTCCATTATGGAAGTAGTTAGAACAACTTTCTGTGGTCTTTACTACTAATCACCTTAAATAAATCCAGCAGTTGCAAGAAAATTGGGGTTGAGTTGGAAAGTTATTTTGGGCTGCAACTTCTATTGAGAGAGACTGACATGCTCACTTTGCAAGATTTAAATATATAATCACTAATACCCTCCTTGTGTTTTCTATCATTTTGCAACAATCTCCTAATACTGAGGTTGTTTCAGTTGCATTTTCCCATTAAGACAAAAGCTAGGGAAGTAATAGAAGATAGATATAACTTTTTGTAAAACCGACTCCTCTACCACAGTCCCCAGGCAGGCATAAGGTTCCCTGTCCCTCCCCCAAATGAACTCAGAAATGTTATCTCCCATCCCATAACAAAGCAACAAATGGCAAACCCTTGAAACCCCCAAGCCAAATAACAGAAAATCTAAGCATCTGTCACTTCCTGGGGTGAAGGAAATAGATTGAGTGGGTAAACAAAAGGAAGAAACATTATTTTAAGCCTCTAGTTTATTAACAGTCCCTCTCTAATATGGCCTAAAGCCTGTTATTTCTCCACTAGGCTCAGATTCTCCCATTCTTCTTCAAGACAAGCCAGATTCATCCATTTATTTATGTATTTATGTATTTATTTATTAAATATGGAAACTTAGGAGCATATTATTCCACTTGCAAATGATGAAACATGCCATCTCTCCCTTCTATTAGAGTGCAAGGCAAACTAGGGTAGCACTGGAAGAGTTCTAGAAAGAGGCTAGGGATAGAATGATTTACACCAGGGATCAAAGAGTGGCCCAATAGCACCTTTTTGCCTGCTTCATGTCATCAGGAAGGCAAAGAAGATGCAAGAGACACCAAATGTAAGACATGTTTAATCTCCCTGAGGAACACCACTTTTTCACAGTTGAATGCACAATCAGGCAACTGCCTTTGCAAGTACTGTTAAGTCTTCCACTGGAGTCTCAAACACACTTCAGACTCTTCCCCCCCCCCCCCTTGTTCTCATAAATCTTATTGCTATTAAAGGAGAAAAAAAGAGAAAGAGATGCCGGATGAACTGGCCACAGCAGTCAGCCTGCCACCCCGCCATGGCGCAAGGTCAGATGTTAATAGGGCCGCTTGTATTCAGGTCCTCTAAACAATCGCAAAGCTTGTTGAACCGAGTCCTAATGTTTCCTGAGCCCGAAAAGTTTTGGGCCAGCCAGGGAGCGCACAGGAAATAGGATTCTCCTCCCCAAAAAACAAAGGGGGAGAGCAACCGAACAAGCCACTCAAACTCAGACAAATTTCCCTTGGTAGTTTCCTGGTTTGCCTCTGGCTTCACTCAACACCGATTAACCACACTCAGCTGGAAAGAGAGGCAGCAGAAGTGTTTATTGAAACAAAGAAGTAGACATCCCCCTTCCTTTAAGGGGGGGAGCTGGTCATACACTCCCCCCCCCCCTTTCCCTTTGGAAACACCCCTTTTTAAAAGGGGAGGGTGGTTTTTTTTTTTTTTTCCCCACCCAAAAAAAAAAAAAAAGGGGGGGGGGGGGAACCCTGCTATCCCCAGTAGCCATTTCACTTCAGAGTAGAGTCGGGTGGGAGAAAAAGCGGACAACTTTTCCATCCCTCGTGTCTGATCTAAAGGGAGTATTCTCTTCCTTATCTTCCACGCTGAGACTTGGGGCTTAAAATTGTTAAGGCGAGGATGGCGCGGCGGCGAGGTTACAAGCTCTCCACAGCTCCCAACACGACGATGCCATTGTAAGGAGCCTCCGGCATTTGATCTGGCAGGCACGCATCGCTGCAAGGAAGCGCGGGGGGGGGGGGGGTAACAATCTTCGTGGTCTCTTCAGGAGAGTTTTTTCTCCTCCCTTGAAACCGCGGGAAAAAGGACTGCATTCCCGAGGCCATTTAGCCCCAAATTCTCCCTTATGAGAATTAACCAAGATCGCTGGTGAACCCCCAAAAGCGCTTTAAAGGCGAGTCTATAAAACGCACGCAGCTCGGCAGGACTCGGGATGGCTGACTTCTGAGTAAGCCTACGAAGGCTAGAATTACTCCCACAGAAAAAGCCCCCCGCGCTTCCAAGGCGTGCTTAGTCCCCAGCGAAGGCTGTTTGTACCCGGGGAGTCCGGCAGGGCAAGACCATCGTGCTCAGGAAAGGACAGAGATGAAGACATCTCTTGTCCCCCGGCACAAGGCTGGCTTAAGTTAAGGGAGACTCTCACTCTCGGGGGTGGGGGGGAACGGGGGACTGCTGGGTGTTACGACGGGGCCCTTCCTCCCCCTTTCCCTCCCCTCCCCCCCGAAGGCTCCCTCTCCATCTCGGTGCAAACGAGGAGCAAGGAGGAACAGGCGGCGTCCCGCCACCACGTTCAACAGTTCGCTTTCAAGTGGGCTCAGCCCGAGGGCAACAACGTCCTCTTGCAACCCTCGCTTGCTCTTGGGGATGAAAGAACAGCGGGAGGCTGCGAGACGTTGCTCAACCCTAGCACGGCCGGAGCCGTCGGAGCTTCTTTCGGGCTTACCTGCCGCGATCAGAGGAAGAAGCCCGGACGCTGCCAGCAGGACTAAGAAGGCGGCGCTGGCTGCGCCCATGCTGGCGCCGGCCAAAAACGAGGGACGAGGGGGCCGCGGCCGCCGGTGCACAAAGAAGCCTTTGTGGCCTCGCTCGCGTCTCCTCTGGGCTAAGTGGCGGCGGCGGCGGCGGCAACGGCGGCGGACTGGAGTTTCCCGACGAGGTTGCCTGTCCGACCAGCCCCCGTTGGCTCCTAGCTGAGGGAGGAGCTGCCGCTCCGCCTTCTCCGAGCGGGATCCGCGCCCTGCAACTGGCCGCGGCGGGCGAGGGGAAGCGGGAGCTGAGGCCGCCTTGTGGGCGCGGACGTCCCTTCACGCTGACCAGCCTCTTGTTCGGGCTACCCTGCAGCCCGTCGACCGACCTGCAGTCCCAAAGCGAAGGGAAAGCGAGCGGCCGGGGGAAGGGAGGGGGGAGGCGCTCCCTTCTTTTGCCAGCCTTCGTCCGGGCGAAGGAAAGGGCGGCAGAAAGGCCGGCCTGGCCCCGGGCGCACGGCCCTGTGAGGGACTTCGGAAACCAATCGTGCAGGCGAAAGATTGGATGCCACCGGGGCAGCTCACGTTGCCTTTGCAGCTTCATTGGAAGGCCCAAATGGGAAGTATAACCTATCAAATTTAGTGGGTCTTAACTCCCGGGTAGATAAGACACACAATAGTCTCACCCAGCATCTGACTTCTCGGAAGCGTTGCATTATCACATTACAAAATCGCACTGAAGTAGGAACGTTATTTATGACAAAAACTGCGCCTGTGGAAGGGGCTACAAATGTTGTTAAGTTGTTCGTGCCTTTTAAAAGCATCTCTCTATAATAACTGATCAAAATGTACACCAACTTTACTTTCCACAAAAATACCAAGTTGGCTGCTAGTCGGATAGATCCTGCAGATTTATATAAATACTTGATTTCTGCTTAACAAGCAAAAACAATCTCTTCCCAGTCTGGGATTACTTTAAATGTATATAGACAATTTAGACTTAACAACACTAACCCTTGATCCCTTTTGCAGATAACTAAAGCCACAGCTGCCTGGATTCCCTGGCTTTCCATCATAACAAAATCCACTCTTTCAGGATCGAGTTTCAGTCAGTTCACAAGTTACCTTGAATGGAAATGTTGGAAAGCTCATTACTACACCTGGCTCTGATGAAAAGGAGAAATCTGAGTTGGGAGTTGTTAGCACTCTGGTGATGCTTCATCCCAAGTTCCTTAAGAATCTCTCCCAACTTTTTCAGATTCTTAATAGCATGTAGGACAACTTCCAAAATGGATTCATGGTGAAGCACGTAAAACAGCTGCTACAGTACAAACTAATAGTTTCCCAGCAGCACTTTTAGGAACTAAGATAATGTTACTATTCACCTGGTAGTTTGCCCACAGGTTAAAATTCCACAGCTAGTGGTATCCAAAATCTATTGAATATCCCAGTATTTATTTATTTATTGGTTCGATTTATATGCCGCTCTTCTCCGGAGACTCAGGGCAGCTTACAATGCGTTAAGCAATAGCCTTCATACTTTTGTATATACCTGCTTAGTAGGGCTTTTGCCGCCTCCCCAAGCGGTGTTCTTTTTATGCAAAGACAGTTTATTGCCCCCACAATCCGGGTCCTCATTTTACCTACCTCGGAAAGATGGAAGGCTGAGTCAACCTTGAGCCTGGTGAGATTTGAACTTGCAGTAATTGCAGGCAGCTGGCAGCTAAGTGCTACTTAACAGCACTTTAGTCCGCTGCGCCACCAAGGCTCCTGGTTTATATCAAGATAGCCAAATTCTCTTTATTCATTTGGAGATGATGATCCAGACAAACCAAATCCATAATCCCTGATGGGAGGATGTGATGTTTACCACATATGCATTTAGTTAATGTAAAACTGGCTAGAGAAGAAAAATGGCATTTTGCCAATAAAGATTTTATATTAGTATCATTGATAAGCACAGATAATTTTAGTTACTGTTTTTACTCATATTCACTTGTTGATATTCTATGGAGGGAGGACCAATGATGTGTGAAACTGGCTTATCCCTATTGGCTGTAGCCTCAAATGTTGCATGTTGATTTACAAACTATGAAGAAAGAGGAAACTTTTCCTGTTACTCATCTGAACACACTATGAATGCTATGGCCCTTCTGCTTTCAGAGTTCTCTATCCGCACTGATAGGATTGTTCTCCTTGCTGAAAATTTAAACACACTTAATCTAAGAGTTAGACTTAGACAACGCAGTAGCAATATGTAGTCAATTGTGCATAGGAAAAAGCTGTGAATCATTCAAGGTCTGATTAAAACTATCCCTCATAAAATTATTCCCTACATGAAAACAAGTGGGTGTGACGTCCTGAAAGTGTGATAAGATGTGGGTATTTGAACAATTTTAATCATAAATATTGCAAATATAGTTCATAGCATCTGAAAGCATTTTAATTATTTGATTCCACCATTTCTTACAGCTACTGCAAGAGAAGATAAATACCAAAGTATATAAGTTGTTTGTATAGAGAAGTTAAAACATCAATAAAGTCTTTGCAAAGACCATTCCAAGATTGCCAGCTCTGAGAAGTCCCTGCATTGGGACACCATTTGATTTTTTTTTTCTAAAGATGGGACAGTGAGAAGGTTTTTCCCCCCTTAAAATGGAGGCACAAATATAGCATAGTATCAATAAATAAAAATGAAATAAATGTACTAATTGTGATAGCATAACAATCAAGATGGCCAGTATCAGGGCATAAATATAATCTTAAAGGTAGAATGGCAATGTCTAGGATATTTATCTGACAGTATGCAAACGAATGACACCGGTGGAATGTTAGGTTTCCAGGGATGTCTGTGAAATTTGATCTTAGAAAATTATAAACAGACTAAGGGTCCAAATGAATTTGGAATGTTGATACTTTTACAATGAAATTAATTATAAGGAACAAACAACTTTTATGGGAAATAATCCTGTTTTGGGTTTTACAAGACAAAACAAAGACAAGCAATTTCATGATTTCAAAAATGATAATAGAGAGGACTAAAGTTTTTAAGTAGAGAAGATTTACAAGCCTGTAAATATTGCAAAATATTATAACAATAAAAATACTGAAGGAGACTTTTGAAAAAATGGAATTATAAAATAATAGCTGCACTATCAACAATGTCTGCAATAATGTCTGTTTTTATGGACAGGCTATGTCCAAAATATATTTTTGAAGAAATGATAGATGTATGACAAAATTTATTATCGTAACAGGACAGTGATGGTATTGAAAATTGACTTACAACTGACAGGTCAAGAGAATGACTTAGGAAATGATTTAAGAAAATGGATCTACTTTGCTATTTTACCGCCCAAGGTTTTAAAATTTAAAAGGGAAATATAAATGACAAACCAAGAGAGTGACTTGGATTTTTTTTTTTCCTATTGGGTTTAAAAGAGGCTTATTAATCCCTTGAAAAAACTCTGTGTGATGGGCTAAAGAAGAAATGAAGTCAAATCCTACAGCAATATTTGAATAAACTAAAGATTAAGATTGTTAGAAGGAAAAGGAAGGAATATAAAATTGTCTATTTGAGCAGGGTTAAAATAATATATAGTTACTTCTGATCATCCTTTATGGACTGTGTGCTGACAGCAGGACTGAAAAGAAGTTTTTATTTATTTATTTATTTTACTCCTTCTTGCATTCTATGTTCTTTAAGTTTAGTTTAGCTTAGTTCACCATTATAATCAAAAGTCTTAATAAAATTATAGACAGCAAATTGGAATGGCAGGTATTAAACCAAAAGGTCCCTTTTTCCTATAAGCTATTTTATATTGGCTAGTTGTAGTCTAGTGAATAATTGCAGCTTTCTGGACCCTGGCTCCAGATTTGTTAGGAAATCCCAACCAATAAAGAAGAAGGAATCAATACTACTGAAGATCATTTGTTTCTATGACCTCCCCTTGAGTCAGAAATTCAGAAATAAAAAATAAGAATATATTGAAATAGTACTCCATAGTATTTTGAGTTGCATTCAGAGTTTCTCTGCTATGAATGGAATGGCTTCTTCCATTTTAACTTATTCTTCCCTATAATGATTCCAATCCACTTACTGGCCAGTTCTTTAATTGCCAATTTGAAATTCATTTTGAAATCATGACATATTTATTTCAATCCTCTGATAACATAGACTAAATTTTAAACAAGGTTTGGCTAATTCCTGGTGATAGTAAACTGAAATGAAAAGCTATTTATGTACTAAAAAGGGAAAATAGGATATTGCAAGTATAGCAATTCACGAGATTCAATGTTTTCGTATGTTCTCATATGAAATTGTTTTTTAACAGATGTTATATTTTATTGCTTAACAAAAACCCTGGTTACTATAGATTTGGATAAAAAGTAACAAGCTTTTTCTCAGATCAACAAGCTTTTTCTCAGATTAACTAAATAAAGTAGGGACAGTGCAAACGGTTCAGGTAGTTTTTCATTTAATATTTAGAACGAATAAGCAATAATGTTTAAGAGATCCTAAAACCTCAATTTTACAGATAATTGAGGGAAGGGGTGTCTGTTAAAGCACATGTCAATTAAATCTAAATATATGTGATGTATGTACATTCATCATCCAGTTCCCTTTGCCTGACAGTCAATCCCTATAAAATATTATGATTTTCCATCAAAGAATATACATTTGAAATACTGTAGATTATATATTTTTCCTAAATTATATAAAATTTACATGCAGACTCTAAATGTTAGTTTTATAAATCTGTGGGGCAGAATAGTAAGGCAGAAATATTAACTACCTAAATAGAAAAATGTGCATAGAAAAAATGAACATTAGAATATGAATGTGTTTGAAAACAAGGTCATAGGTATTGTGTAGCAATCACTTCAGCAATATTGAGGTGGGGGGAGGAGAAACAAAATGTTTAAAGGATCTTGTAGCCCATTAATCTTGTCTAGAGGAAAATATGTCCATTGATAAATTTTTGTTAGTCTTAGCTGCAACCTGAACATCTATGTCACTTTTAAATAAAGTGATCAAAAACCAATTGCTCTTTCTATCAAACTGTCCAGATTGATTATAGCAGTAATACACAGTCTAAGATCAGATTGTCCCAGAGAACATGAGCCTTTCTCGAAAACACAGGGGATTACATTTCACTCAATTCAGTGTTAAAAGTAAATTGAGTAACGTTACCCAGTGAGGGACTAAAATTCTTTCTGATTGGCCTTTGAAATTTGCAAAACATTTCAAGAGTGATTTATTGCAGTTGTCAAAGTCATTTGGAAAAGAACTCAAACAGTATGTAGCCTTCTTAT